ACTTCCAAGTTGAATGGCATCCTCATGTAAAGTGTACTTACAAACAATCCCAGAATCAAGCAGACACCCTCAAGTAAAAAGGTTTTGTTCAAGTCAAGAAGGGTACACATGCTCAAGTAAATGCAATCCCTTCAAGTAAAGGCAAAGTCCACACCTCCTGGCATGCTCAGTCAACAAAAACAAAAATCCACGGCGCAAATATCCTCAAGTACATGTTGTCCTGTAGAAAACCTTGCTCTTTGGACAAAGCCAACTCACATAAATTGAGACATTTTCTGCTTCAAAAGCATGCTCGCAAAACTTTACTCATAACCTAAAAAATTTACTCATAACCTAGATTGGATTTACTATTACATTTACGTAAATTTGTACGTAAATTTTCCTTAGTAAAACAAAAAATTACGTATATTTTTATGGTTAGTAAAATTACTAATTTGGGTGCCTTAGGGTGCTGCCTACCACAGTATTTTTTTTGACGTGTTTTGGGACAACTTCCTTGAGGTGGCTGTCGAGCATGGCCACTTGCAGTGAAACGAACTTGCTGCGTATTGGCAATTGGTCAAAGCATCGAGACTGCTGGACAGCACGATGGAGGACTGGCCTCCGGGACAGGCCCCCTAACTAACAGGCCTTGGAGCGAGCAAATGGGTTGGCCAAACAGGGATTACCGTCCAACTACTCCTGCTTGGCCCTTGAAGAGGTGTCAGCCAAGGTTGAGCCTACTACGGCTCGTGGGCAGTCCCTCCGACAATCCTTTGTGAGGATTGGCAGCCGGAAGAAGCATGCAAACGGCATTCCTCTGAACTCCTCTATGGGAAGCCGATGCAAAGTGACCGCTTGATGTGCAGGGAGGACTAGACTTGGTACGTTTGCAAAAAGACAGAGGATTCGACTTGCCATTCATGTCGACGTCGGATCGACCAACCTCAGAAGCCAGGATGATGAGCAGCGCAAGACGCCTCCTGCTTCAAAGTTCATCCAGTTCAAGTTCATGCGTGAGAATGCTCAATGCACTGCGTGCGTGGGAGATTGGCACGGTTGGCCAATCAAAAGCGCAGTGGGCCATGTCAGTGGACTTGCCAAGCCTGACCATCGACGAGAACACGCATTTGGCATTTGTGCCCTGATCAACCGCGCACGACGAAGGAGCAAGTGATGAAAGTTATGGCAGACTACAGCTAGCCAAATTCCGAGGTCTTTTCGGTCACTTGTGTGTAGCCATGCTGTTGCAAAAAAGAACCGAAGGCCTTGACTTCATCTGCACATGCCTCCAACGCACGCGATGTGGCACTTGCGTCCACGTCCTCATCCTGGCTTGGCTGGATGGTGACGCAACAATCCGGTTCTCCGAGCTCAGTGAACAGACAAAGCGTACTCGCCCGGATTCCACAGACAACGGAGAGAATGCTTTGCGGATGAAGAAAGCCGGCCGCAGTGCAGAATTGCCGCCCAAGTCCGCTTGGATCACCACGCAGTGCCTGAAACATAGAGCAGAAGCCAAAGCCGCCGAACGAAAGAGGAAAAGAGACCACACGCAGACGACGTTCAGGAACTTTTTCGTCGCGGCTTGCCTTCTGTCAGTGCAGACCCCATCAATGGTCAGGACTGCTCAAAAAGTGGGTGTTCGTGTGCACACGACGCCTGTTTCAATGTGATATCGCCGAGAGATACATATATCGTCGTGTATTGTGAAATGGGTTGTGGCGCGCAGCTAGTGTTTCCTTACGTGCTGCTTTGCTGTTGAGCATCTTTCTTCTGCTGCCCTGAGGAAAAGATGCGATTGCAAAGTTGCCTCAGAAGCTTGCTGAAGGGGACTACGCAAAGAGGATCGAAAGTTTGAGCCTGCTTGCGCACAGCTCGATAGCAGCCTCGAAGAGGCCAAAAAGATGAAGATCTCACCTCTGGTGCACGCAGTGTTCACTGCACGGGGGCCAATGAAGGCATTGCCAGCGAGGATCTTGAAGCAGTGGGGCGCTCTCTGAGAAAAGAACCGTTCCGAATCGGATGTTGCAGAATTCCCTCATGATTTTGTCACCGTTTAAATAACCGCATCCCTTTCAAAACACATCAAAGAACTGCGGCTTTTGCTGTCAGGAGGTTTGACACATTCTGTGATTTAGGGCCCTGCTCCACGATGAACCACAAGTTCATATGTTTGTGGCATGACCCAAGTCGATAGCAAACCGACATCGCTTGTCGCTTATATGATTCTGGGCTTCGAGCATGCTGATGAGAGACACGGTCACAGTTTGAGGTTGATGAGGTGAGTGAGGGGGCCCCTGAGAGAGAGTTTGAGTGTTGATGCAAGCTAGATGGGCATGACTGTTGCAGGGACCACAAGCTATTGTTTTAGTGCAGTGAAGATGGACCACACGGTCACACCCGCGCTAGCGCATGTCTTGCTCTTGCGCTTGGCCCGTGCGCAGACGCCGCGCAATGACCCGTTGTCGTGGTGGACCGTTAGCGTTTTCTATGTCGATGATTTGCACAGAGTCTCAGGGTTGCAAAGTGGAGACATGTTCGGCGATCTATATTTGCTGTTCAGGTTGCAGAAAGTTTTTTCGGGAGAAACAATTCAACATGTGTGCTGAGCAACTAAGGTTCTTTGCCAGCCGGATCTTGATTGGGCGGGTTCTTGTGTACGTGATTTGGTTTCGCTGCAGGAACGAGCCCTATAGTGAAGTTCGATGTCCTCGTGGCTCACGCAGCGCTTCTTCGGCAGCGCTGGATAGACTATGTGTGCTCCAAAGGTTTTCTGTCCGCGGAACTTCAGGCAGCTACCTATGTGTTGTTTAGGCGGCTGGTGTCACGTCTCCAGGCTGACCACACTGTATGCCTTTAGATTGCTCTGCTCCAACTACGCCCGTCTCTCCCTCGGAGCCATGTGTTTCTTCATTCGAAGAGTCGAGCTGTGCTGATACGCGCACTACTCCTTTGAGGCCTGTTCCTGTTCCAGCGGTGGATACTGCAGCGTTGTTTGGCGCCAGCGCTTGACGTTTCAGACTCTGAAGTCTCAGCGCTAGGTGAGCTTGTCTCCTCCGTGGAACCTCTCAGTCCTATACGAGGAGACGAATCACCTCCGCACCTGCAAGCGAAGCAGAATTGTCATCGAAGTCTCTTTCGCGCAAGCCCTCCAAGTCCTACACGAGTTTTGGGAAGCAACTGAGATCAGTGGCAGCAGCTCTTTGGCTGTGGAAGCCACGGAAGTGACGGAAGACTCATTGAGCTGTGGTGTTTCGGAATCGCTACATTCGAGGCTCACCTTGCAAGGCAGCCACCCGTGCGAAAGCAACAGTGCCAAAGACGATCAACTTCAAATATGGGCTGTCCAAAGCATGGATGCGCGATGTCTCCTCGCATATTTTCTGCCAACTCTGCACCTGAGCGGCGTGGACAAGCGTTTCTGTTCCTGAGTTGCATGTTGATCTTTAAAAGAATTCTTTTAACTTCGTTTTTAACTTTGGACTTCTGAAACCTTGGACTCACGCATGTCCTTGTTTCTGAGGATATGCAACCAGTGGTGGAAGACCAGCAAAGAAAACAAGCGTCTTTGCTGGCACATGCAGAGAGCCAGCCAAGAAGACTTTGCAAAATTCCCAAAAATGATGCGGCAGAAGTTCCATGACCTCAAGCTCAGCTTGATGCGCGGTGGCCATTTGGGAATGGAAGCGAATGTCCGTGTCCAAAGCAAGCTTTTTTTTGGTCTTGGTGCTAGACAAGCACTCAATCTCTTTGGTGCTGGCGTGCTGCAATCGGAGCAATGCTTAGTCAGAACCCCATACAATATAACAGGTATACCTTCGTTTGCGGGTTGATACTTCTCGATATGCATGAGGGTATATATAAGTCAATTCCATAATTTTCAACTTGTTGAGATATATGAAACCAATTGAGCCCCTTTGGTTCCCAGCCCGCAAAAAGGGCCAGACGATTGTGTGGCAAGACGACCAAAGACTCTTTGCTCACCTGCATCTCAGACGGGTGTGCTCAAATGGTTCCGTGCACATTTGTACACAGGCCATATCAACAACATGTTGTGGCAGTATTGACATGAATACAGTTCAGACTCTGACCACATGTTCTCCTGCGGAGATTTTTGTGTACCGGAGGTGTGATTCTCCGCTGGATCTATTCATATATGAATAGTCTGGGTGCTGCTCTGAGTAGTTTCTGAGATGCCTGCAGTTTACGAATGCAACCGTCCCAGTTTTCGAATACAACTGTCCCAGTTTCCGAATACAATCGTGTAGTTTCCGAATACAACCATGTTAGTTTCCGAATACAACCTTTTAGTTTCCAAAAACAACCGTGACCTTGGAGATGTGGATGAGCATGGTGCAGAAAATGATTAGGACCGCTGTTTGGCAAGCCTTTGCAATTTCGGAACCGTTTTCTTCCAAGCAAATAATGCCCGTCTATAGGAGCATTGAATCAGGCTAACAATTAGTATGTCTAGTGACATGGTGCAGAATTAACTTCGTGCTCTCATTCCTTGCTGCTATCATTCCTGCATAAGCCCTGAACAGTCTTCTACGCACAGGGGTTGAGGATGATAAGGAACTCAATTTTTTCTATCCTAAATCTCTGGCCAAAAAGAACCCACTTCTCCAACATTTCGTTGCCAAAACTTCCAGAAAATAAATCCTTTTTGCATGCCAGAAAAAGCATTGGAGATGGCCACGGGAAATGGAAAAGGGGGCAGGAATGGCTAGGTGTTTGGGCGCAACAGGGACCCAAGGAGGCACAATTACCCGTCAATCTAAGGCCCCACAGTCAGTGATAGATAAAACCTCCAAAATAGTTATGGTTTAAACCCTGTCTCGCTTGGTTTCGGGGGCGGCGGGGGGTCCCATTGGGGTGGACTGTGTCATTCAATAGACCCTTTGAGGATGTAGTTCGGGATTTTAGGGGCCAAGTAACGTCGGATGTTCAGCAGGGACTCCCCTTCAGATGGATTTGGAGCTGCGCAAGGCTGCACAAGGCCGCACGATCGACACGAGGCAATGGCTCAGCTTGAACGGCCCCTTCGAGGGCTGTGACGAGGAGCACGGTGCCAAGCGCGTGCCACTCTTTGTGGGTGGTGACAGCTCGGGCGGTGGCACGACGATGTCACTGGTGTTGACCTTGGCGAAGAGGCTCGGGGTGGCTGGTGGGACGCCCAAGTGGGCAATCTCAGTGGGGTTGATTGGTGATGCGTCCTCAAACGTGAGGTAGTGGTTCTTTGATGTTCTTTGTATTATTGTTGTGTTTCGATGTTGTTTTGTTCTTGCAACTCTTTGTTTCTCTTCTTTCCGTCTAGAGTTTGGAGATTAATATCCGATGTTTTTCCAGACACTTGCTAGGAACTTCCCTTACCACCGTGGGCTGGGGATTGGTTCACAAAGACAATTGTCAGCTTGGGTAGAGTCCCACCCCATGTCACTCAAAGAAAACGCAAGAGATACAAATAACTTTGTTTATTCGACGTGCGGTATTCTTGGAGAACCAACAAAACTCCCAGTCCATCAAGAAGATGCTGGCTCAAGGTGCTATAGTGAATATAGTTTAATATATATATATATGTTTATACGCCAAATCTGAAACTCGCCCTGTAGAAGCCCCAAGGTCCCGGTGTACATTGGACTTGGATAGGCCTTGTTCGCAACAAACACGTTGCTGTCCCACATATTTCACCCAAGTATACTAAAATTCATTCAAGTGTGTGAACGTGTCAAAATCACCCTGGGCACGCAACACTTACCGGACCACCAGAAGACCAAGCACGGCCATGTGTGTTTGGTGCAAAAAAGGCCTCAGTTGCTGGGCCAAAAGCTGGCTGGTGCCTTCTTCTTCAGTCCGTGGACCAACTTGCCACTGGGACGACGGGAACATGTTTGACCATGTTGAACGGAATGATTTAGATGACTGATCAGCCGAGACGTTCAAAGGCATTGTTTTCAATGTTTAATGTATACTGAGACTGCAATGCTGTGTAGTCTTTTAAACCGCACACTACTGAGGGCTTCTTGCCACCCTCCAAATGCTGAGGACATGTGATTCCCCGATCCTACGAAACCTATCAAGCCCAAACATATCATACCAGCTGCATCCGAGGATGTGCAACACCCCGGAGTACTACTCGAATGCTTTTTCAAAGATCCAGGGCTCTGGGAAGTTCCAGGCCATCCTCACAGCACGATGTGTTGATGCGATCAGGATATCATGAGCTCCCCAAACCGATGACTTTCGTCTAATCCGTGCAAAGCGACGTGGTGCAATGCGGTCGCTCAGTTCGTGACGCACGTGGTGGAGTGCTTGGGCCCGCTAGCTCATGCGACTCACGGCGCGGCTTTGGGACGAGACAGATCAGAGAGACTACTACAATTATATACAATTATATGCGTATATTATGGTATAGTATAGGTGAGTACGTACCAGCACCACCCAATCGGAAGGAAAACACCTTGTTCTTCGGGGTCCTCTCCACCACCCTTTGGGTGGTGCTTCTACTGTATAGAGTCAGAATCGATGTGTTTTTGTTCCTGGAACAATGTTGGTGGCTTCTGTGGCAAGCCCCAAGTCTTTTTGCAATGCTTCGTTTAGAGGTGTGCAACAGGCCTCGGCCTATATAAACCTCTTGATGTTATTTTTTCCCGTTGTATCGTTTCACACCCATGACCCGCTGATCCTTCATGCTTCGTCTTTGGCCCGGGTCTGTCGTCGGTCGCCTGAGACAGACTACTGCTCTCCCTGAGACACAACTCTTGTCATGTGCAGGATGATTCCAAGCTGACAATGTACACAGGGGACATCCTTTTCCAGGAGGTGACGCCGGAAAACGCGGATGCCTTCAATGGCAACGCGGCACCTCGCCACAGATAGAACCGGACATGTGGGGCTGCGCAACGAAACCCCCAGCCGCCGCCCTTGGTGATCCGTCGCCTCCACCCCCTCCAAAAGGGGGCATGTTGTCGCAGCTGAACTCCACCTGAGGTGGACTACCTTGGGGGCGACTTTGAACTGCAGACCGACCCCATCGCCTCGCCCTTCTTCGCCCAACCCGCCGACTTCGCAGGCGCTTTTGTGCTGCGCCTGCCGGCGTTTCAGGTTCGATGGCTAACAGGGGTTTCAAGTTCAGGAATGCAGGATACCTGAAACTGGTGAACATGTATCTCATGTGACCTGTTGCGCCCACTGAATAGACCTTCAATCAGGATTCATCCCATCCTCGTCGCTTCGCAACGACTGAGCAACGGGGAAGTGACGTTCGCATCTTGGACATGCTCCTTCCTTCCTGTTCATACCGATTTGTACCATTTTCTTTGTTTCAACAAGAGTCAATAGATGGTATACCGGATGTACATGATGTACTCGGAGAGATTTGATTCAGACCCAATTTCCAAGGTACCAGAAGCTATCTAGCACCACTTTCCAGCAGTTATCTCCCTGTAGGATGACACCTTGGCGCCTTTCACCAACCAACCAAAGAAAAACAACACAAGGAAAGAACTTGCATGTCGCAAAAAAATAACTAGGGAACTAAGTTGTTTTATTTTGTTGTGAAAAAGGTACACATGAACATGAACAAAAGATGCATGCATGCACTTAAACAAAAAGGAACAAAGCAATCATATGTGAAATCGGAATACCGGAAAGACATGTTGAAGTCAATCACTGCCATTCTTCCACTTCAGTTTTTTTTTGCAAATGTTTCTTGACTCTGGTGAGTCGAGCTTTAAACCCAAACCATAGCGCTGCAGAGTCCTTTGTGTGCACAGTTTGCTGGGGACTTGGGTTGAAATCCTCGAATTTCTTCCAATGAAGTCTTCATTAACTTCACAACTGAAGGTAGTAGGGTTGAGGATAAACTGATCTCCCTGGCTTACATGGTTTCGAAGACGGTCTCAGCTAGACTTTGAAACTTGGTTTACTCATTGATGGTCCAGCTTTCTCTCCGGGAAAAGTTGCAATTCCACACTTATTATGTCCGGATCAAGTAACTAAGCTCGAAGTCCGAAGCTGGGATCAAGTCTTTAAAGGTTTCTTCTGGCAACTGAATTAGCTTGCTACACCTCAACATGCACTCTTGTAAGTATGCATTGGACCAGGCGTTTTCACCAGTCTTCCAAGCATTGTGAGCCAGTTTGTGAGCCCCAAGCGGCTACTATATATGAATATGCTCATGACATGACGCACTTCGAAAGTATGGAGGGACACCCCAAACACCAAAAATCAATTTTTAAAAAAGTAACCCACGCCCCCCCCAAAAGAGGGACAACATGTTCACTTGTTCCCTTTCTTGTGGTATCTTGAGCCCAGTGCAGGTAGAGAGGAACACACAAACCTTTCTCAACTTTTCCTCCCTGCAGTTCCCGTCCTTCGACCTTCTCCCACCTTCTCCGTCCTCCGTCCGGCACCGCTTCGACCGCCACGGCGGAGGCTCCCTGCCGCCGCTGTACTTCGCCGTGGGCGCCAGCGAGTCGATCCTGGGCGACTCGGTGCGCGTGGCGCAGCATGCGGCGCAGGGCGGCTGCGACGTGATCTTGGAGGCGCGAGAGCGACGTGGGGGGGGGGGTCGAAAGGAGGGGGTTGGGGGGAAACGGAGGGCTGGATTTCATGGAGGTGAGTGGGTGAAGGAATGGATAAGAGATGTGGAAGAACTATAATTTATGGAGATCATTTGGAGCGTTGGGCTTTTCAAGATGATGGTGATATTTATTCCAAGGGGTGGTCTCAAGAGTGAAACTATGGAGTCCCTGAAAATGCATCGGTCTCCTTTCCTTCTCCCAGGCGGGTATTTTGGGTGTACAAGAACTTGGGTTCCATGACATCATCATAGTCCAGAAACAGCTTAAGTGGGGAGGCCCTAAACATCACCCTAAACATCCGTCTCCTGTCTCATCACGTCTCATCACGTCTCATGTTGATGCAGGTCTATCATGGGATGTGGCACGTGCTCCTTGGCACCACTCTTTTCGCTCGCTCGCCGTTGGGCGAAGCCACGCGTCAAGCGCACGGTGGGCGGTACTGCTGTTTTGCGGTTAAAAGCCAGGGATTACGTTTTGTGATGCTGTTGGGTTACAAAACCAGGCGACATGGTTACTATTGGTCTCTATTCCATCAAATCATATTCAACCCAAGTACAAGTAGCAGTAATGGACCAGAAAGGGAAACATTTGAGAAAACTCATAAATACATGCTATATGCTCGTTGAGAATCTACTCTCCATTCTCAGCATCGACTAAACTTTCAGCTTGTCCAGCACTGCCCTTTTGCTCATGAAACAGGAAGCCTTTCTTCAACACTCCCCGGGTGATTTTTTTCTGGTGTTTGTTGTGATTGTGCTTATCATTCCACTTGTGTTTGTGCTAATTTGGCAATACTGTTGCCAACTGCTGAGGTTTCCCATGTACTCAGAAGGCTGTGGGCTGGGCGAGCCTTTATGGGCAGGAGCGTAACCTGGAAGCTGTAGAGGAGTTTGGGGCAGGGGAAATGCAGATGCAGAATGGTTTGACTTGTTGAATCCACAGTTGATAAACGATGCTGGGGAATCAAAAGCTGCCTTTATTATATTTATCTTGCATGTCTATGCAGTACTTCTGTGATAAGCTTTTATAAAAGTTCTTCGGAGATGTGTCCTTCGTCCTAGCACAGAGAGAGATGGATACGGTGTCCGTTCATTGTGAACAACAAGGATTCCTTGCAGATCAGATCCGGGATTTAAAGCTTGCAAATCTGTGGGTTTTGAGGTTGATGGTGGCCATTATTTGATTATTGAACTATTGTGCCTGCCTTTGAATGATGAGGGAGTAGGGAGTCGGAGTATGTTCTTCAGTTGGTTGGCCCAGAAAATGTGATATATTATATAGAGTATGAATTATGGCAAATCCAACAATGTCGCCGCCACTGGAGTCCGGTTGCGAACTCGGGACTCGTGGGTTCATTCAGGAGGACCCACAGCTGCATCCCAGGTTTGGCCGGTCAGAAAAAGCACTTGGTGATACTGAAGACGCAGTTCTTGATTCTTGAAGCTGCTTGCTCACCGAACGACACCTGACTCTGTTTCGAGGTATGCCATCAACCAGACAGGGCTCTTCGTGCGACACATCCATGAGCAAGGGCGCTTGCCTTACAAGCTCAAAGTTGAGGCGTCACGCTCGCCGATGGGAGCTGAACGAACATCCTCGGACCTCAACCAGGATTCCACGCTCAACCGGTCCAACTGGGGGGCCAACGGTATGGGCTGAGAATCTACTTGTTGACCCGCCTCACAAACATGGATGGTCCGCCCGAAAGATGATGACGATCCTTTATCACAGATTGATGGTCTACCTGAGTCTACCTGTTTCTATGCTAGCTTTTCGGAAGCTGTTGTTGTGCCAAAATTGAGTATACTATGCTTTGCCCTTATCAAGGTTTTTCAACACCTAGTGATACGTCAGCGAATCTTCTATATAGTCCTGCATCATCAAAAGAACATTGAATCCCCAAACCAAACTTTATCAATTCTTAGGATTTCTTCTGGTCTTTCAATGCTTTAAGCAGGCGACACCTGGTGTTGTACTCTAAAGCCCCTAGATTGATACTGTTCCCAGATTCACTCTAATCCCTCGAAGAGATTCTATGGAAGCTCGGAGAATTGCATCCAACAAGTGAAATCAAAGCTGCAGCACTGCTTGGTACCTTGGTGATACCGTGATACCTGCCACCCTTCGCCCGGTTTCGGAGGGGCCAAATGGAGGGCCACCTGAGTCGAGCATCTTAGCAAAGTTCTGGCAGCCGAGCGTCAGCAAAGTGCCCTTCTTTCGCGCCTTGGTGGTGTTTGGAACACATCACAGGGTGAGGAGATAGATTAAGCTGGAAGAAGAAAATGGACCTTTGGAAGAGTAGCTTCCTCCACAAACCAGTGGTTTTCAGGTTCCATATCATCCAGGCATGAACCTGGCGGTTTAAAAGACTGCCACTGTTGCTTTGGGTCATGCAAAACACTGGCGCATGTTTCAGCCTGGAGCACTTGACTTGCAAACCCTGTTCGACCCTTGGTTGTCAAGAACCCACTTAAGCCAGAGGGTGCAAACGCTAAAGGCGGCAGATGCACAAACCAAGCAGGGCTCCCCATGGTGACCCGTTATACCCCGTCACCGAGTCCGAGGTGAAACGCGAAAACGAAGGTGGCCTCCACTGAAAGGGGGCGATCATCCAGTTTCATTGCGATTTCCTCCTCGATGGGCGAACGCGGTATTTGGCCTTCGTTCCTTGAAGAACTGGCCAGTTCCATGCCTCGGTCCGTCGCTACGGCCTTCGCAGACCTCTCCCAGGCTACTTGTATGACCCGAACGTGCCTCGGCCGCAACGGGAGGGTGTCGGCCTCAAACGTGTTGGCGCCTGGAAGGCGAAGGCAGTGCCAACACAGGGCCGACACAGAGCCGACACAGAGCCGAACGGGCCGACACGCCGAAGGAGCTCGGTTCGGGGCCGAAGAGGTTCTGTTTGGCTTTCAGAGCACGACGGGTTCAGCTTTTCCACGTTCTGTTCGTCATTCTTTCATCATCACTGGGGATGTTGTGACAGCCCATCCCACACCATTCAAGAATGAACGAATTATGGAGACCTGAATTATGTTCCCTTATGAATCAGGTATCTCCGCAGTGCCTTAAAGGTCCCACAATAGACAAACCATGACAAACCACACTCTTTAACATTTGGGATCAATGTTTATCTTCATGTTGGCGATGAACAGTCAGTCTTGCGAATCGTGTCAGCCAAGCCTTTGTGCCGGCAATCCTGATTGTGCTTCGATCAGAACTGAATACATGGGTTTTGTGTCATATAACTCTTATGTCAAGTATGGCTTAGCTGCCTTCCCAAGCCAGGCTGGCTACAGGACACCTGACACCGAACCTTTCAAGGCTCACTGCCCCAACCCGCCACCTGTTCCCGCTCCCTCAGGTGAGGCATTTCTCCAAGGTGGGCGAGCTACTGCCGAACCGAGATGCCACCTACAGCTACAAGGAGCCAACACCATCACCCAATTCGCGTTTTGCAGGACACGACTCCTCTATCAACCACCCGTGGCACAAATTGTTCTTTGTGCTCTTGATTCGATTCCTCAGTTTGCTTCGTTGGTTGTACCAGGTGTCATAAAGAACCCCTCCATGTGAGTCTGCGGAACGGAACCCTGAGTCCGTGGATCAATGTGGTGGAGAGTGGCCAGTTGCGAGCGATGTGGGTCTTTTTTGAGTCTGCTGCTTTTGTGTGTTGTCTCCCTTTGATGGGTCAACTTCACTGCGCAACACATTTTCCCCATCAAGTTGTAAATGAGGTGCCCTGGTGCCCTATAAGTCATTTGCTGCGGTTTGTAACCCTGCTCCTGTATGTTGGTCACCCCGGTTTTAGCAGCAAAAACCTGCCGTGAGGCTGGTGAGGTGTACAATGAAACGGAGATCGGTCTCCTCCCCCTATCCAGTAGCCAATGATAAATGATAATAATTAGCCAATTATAGCCATAAATAGAGTTGGTGATCATAGCCGGAAATAAAGCAGATTGATTTGCTACGGGTGACTTGAAAGGTGAACTAGAGAGCTCAGCTGTTTCTCTGAATCAAGCTCCTGATCCATGGACATGCATTAGAGTCCGAGCAACCAGGTAAGAGGTGGTGCTTGGATGCCCTCCACCAAAATATACCAAGAAGCCCTCTCCAAAACAACTTGAATCTGCCCGCCGCTTCCGGGCCCCGGGCCCACGTTGTCGACACCGAGTCCCATTGGTGGGCAGGACATCATGAAGGATCTGGCGAAGCAGTCGCCTTGGATTGTGCTACCCTCCCTCACAGGCGAGATCTCCAAAGCATCGGATGAAGCACGGAGAAAACCTGTCGGGAGTCGAGCAGAACGATCCACGCCGAGCAGTTGTGTGGTGATACCAGTGAAGTCTCCGTGGGCAGGTCCGACACCGACACCGTTAGATGGGGAAGTGAGGGACAATTCTGGTGCTCATGGTGCTCGATGTTTGTTGTATAGGAACCTGCACGTGCTGCAACATCTGCAACCCTATTCATCCAGTTGTCGCGGACCGCAACTAGATCGGCAACGATCAGCACCGTCAGAAGCCTGTTCACATGTGAACATATCGACGCTCCATGGGACTGGCATACTTACCTGCGTTCGGGTGGTTTCAGGGTTAATACTGTATAATTGTTATATGTCCAGACCCATAGAGTGTTTGGGTATTGTTACTTTTGCCTGCGGTGAACTTGGCAGGCAGTAAATGCTCTTGATCTTTGGTCCTGTGACTCTGCTCCTTGTCATGACATTCACCTCCAAGTCCGAGCGTCAGCCACTGTTCACAACTCACAAGCTTTACAACAAGAATCAGCTCCCAATGCAACACCGCGCCCCATCGTCGCCCCAAAACCCTCGGTGAAAGGCGGCCCATCGAACCACAGCACGGTCATCCGGGCACCGTTCGTGGACATCGGATGCATCCCTCGCCGTTGGCGTCCACGCACCACGTACTGACCACGCGATGGGCAGGTGCTGCGGTGACGATCTTCGTGATGGGCTTCTGCCTCGGCGGCCTCACCGAGTTCGGCGGTGAGCGCACGGTGGCGGTTGGTGCACGGGTTTTGCAGGTGGGCGAGTTGGGTGGAAGTTCAGTGCCGCTGGCCAATACAGTTTGCACTACAAAGGACTTATTACAATTTATTAAAGCAATTTACGTACTGTATATTCTACTAGCTATATAGTATATATATATATTAGTGGTTTAACATCAGGGGTCCTTCACACAAATATGCTGTTTACTTGGGCTAAGTCTAAGTTTGAACTGTAATTTCTTGGGTGGGATGCAGATCTGAGCCACACGGTCACTGGGATCCACCAGCCCATGAACCCAGGTTATTCAGCAATAAAGCATAACCCAGACACTCCATGGGACTGCCATATATGCTTACCTTGATCCCCAAACCACCCCGGCAAATATGGCAGTCCCATGGAGTGTTTGGGTAATTGTTTGGACAAAATATGGGAATTGAAATACGGATTCCTTGTTTGAAGGATAAGAACTGGCCGCATGTGAGATGCTTTCTCCAAAACGTCTATAATTCAGGGGTTGCTGAGTCACTGAGTCAACTCTCCAAATTGGATACTAAAATCAAGTTTCGTTACGTTTCAGATGCTTTTTCTGGGACCTCTTTGCTTTTCGTTTCCCCATCCCAACATGCCAAACCCAGGCGCCAGGAGCACGAGTGGCACCGCGCGGGCTCCGCGCCCGATCTACTGGGGCAGCCGCTCTTGGAGTCTGAGAAGGCGGACGGCATCGGACGGCGGACGACATCGGCGACGGGGAAGACGGAGACGTCTCCGCTCGCGGCGTCCGAGGTGGTGAACACGGCGTCAGGTGTATGGAGGTGTGGGAGAGATCTGGCGATCGTGAAATACCATCTCCGGTGTTCGAGTGGTCCCCTGTCATAGAAGTCCGTAGATCCCCACGTAGAAAAAGTGATTGGAAACCGTGGCACGAACGAGTTCGGGGCGTGTTCCATTGTGCTGTTATTTGTTTTCCATGGTGGGGCGCTGCTGCCTTGGGGAATCACTGATGCGTTTGCAAAGCTTATCAAGGACTGAGCCGTGTGTTGCTGTTTTCAGAAGCGAATGGTCCGGTGACATGATTTAGGTCATTCTGGAACAACACGGGGTGTAGGCAGAAGTACCCGCCTTTCTTCCACTTCATTTTCACTGGTAGCGGCTACTGGTTACTCTTTGCTTTTTTTTCACGATCCTTTGTGGGCCCTTGTCACAAACCTATGCATAAAGCCTTCAAACCAGACGACGCTTTGACCGTGACCCCTTGCAGAAACACATGTCACGTGCTCGACTCCAGGGATTCCGAGATGCTCCTGCAAGGGTTCGCGCCACACCCTTGTGCCACACAAGCCAGGTCTGCTCCATAAAAACTGGCCGATTGACTGGTACCAATTCACTCTTTGGGGATTGAAAAGAGGTCACCTGACAGGTATCAGGTTACCTGCTAGTTGATACCCCTTCGAGGTCACGTTGAAAAAGAGAGGTCATAGGCAGACCTTCTACTGTCACCTGTCAGACCTCTCAGGTCACCTTCTACTCTCCAGCCCGAAACGACCGTTGACCACGCTCCAGGTCGAGCGGCGCTTGAAGTCCAGGCGAGGATGGACGGGACGTCGAGAAGAACCGGTCGATGTCCGGAACCCTCGCGATGTGATGTGTTGGACGTCGGGTGATCCGAAGATCCAGTGATATTCAGTGATGTCTTTCGGCAAGAGACGGATGGGAGGATGTTTGGAGGTCTGAAGAGGTCTCCAGCACCATGGATTCCGGGTGTCCATTAATAGTCCCTTAGAGGTCAAGGGTTGTCCATTGACCACCACACTTGGGGGTCCAGACCTGAGGTTTTTCTGATTGCTTCATTTTCTGTGGAGAAGAAGATGATCCATATTAGTGCACAACTCATGTCAGATGCATGATTTGGTCGGTTAATGAAGTGGAGGTTGGTGATTCTATAGCGGGTTTGTCCGCCAGACAATTTACTGTAGCTTGGCGGATCTAGTTGATAACATACTGTTTGTGTTCAATCTGAACACAAACTATGTGCAAGGACCACCTCTTGCCTCCATGTGGATTGTACTGGCCCACTCATCGAACATTTTGGGCTGAAGGAGGACTGATAAGCGACGGTTGTGAGATTCATCCCTATATGGTTTGGAATGACATGGCGGTAGGACGGTAGGACGTTGATGCTTGCTATGTGACTCTCCAATGAAATTATGAAAGACTAAGACCTGCAACCCAAGGACGCACAGAAGGGGGCAGACACTGGGCTTGACCTGAATAGTACTTCTCCACCCATTCCACCCGAGAATCTCACGCCACCGGTGACCAGGAATAACGAGTACAACCAAGTCTTGTTGGAAGCTCCAGTGTGGGTCCAGTGCTTTACGCTGTTTATTTATTGTTGTGCGCAAGCGCATGCTCCGCATGCGGGAAAGCATGCTGCGCATGTGAAAACTGAATGCATTTCAGAAGAGTCCAGTTGGACAGAAGGTCAGTTGGGCGTGTCCTATTTTTGCCCACCCTGTAACAGTCGGTCAAAGGTCTTATCACATCGATCTATGATGATTCGAGCTGGATGGAAAGGGCTGCAACTGAGCCATCATCATCCACTGGGGCTGGGAATAGGACATACTCAAGTCAGTATAAGGATACCAGAGTCCTCACAGGTCCGGAGTCCTCACAGGTCCGGAGTGCATCTTCGGAGTTCTTCTTCGCCTCGAGGCGGCCGAGCTTCATCCAGGACTTCGTCCAGGGTGTGCCAGAGTTGAAGTTCTGAGCTGGGAATTCTCATGAAATCGCATGGTGGAAGCAATCTTCCTTGACAACACAAGGTGTGGCTTTAGAGTCGCCAGTGATTTGTCGTCACTCAGTGACTCTGTGGTTGGAGTCGCAACAGTTTTCTTCTCCGGCGCAGCAGGGCCTAGGGTCTTGGGGTCAGAGGCTGTGCTGGAGTTTGTTTTGCTTCGGCGCCGTCGAACGGCGCCGTTCGGCTTGGGGTGCAATATCCCCGGTCACCGGCTTCTTGCAGCAGACGGTGTCAGAGGACTGGCACCAGGACAATCTGTTGAATGGCACAAGAAAAGGGTGCAGGAGCACGCGCATGTTCAAGTGAGTTCCCTTACTCGAACGGCCTCGCTTGAACATGTGGACAATTATACTTAAGAACTGGAAAGTTACTTTATTGAAACAATCAACTTGTTCTTTTTTCATGGCTCGGGTTGTATGCTCCAGGAGGGAACGTCCTTGGAGAGGGAGCTCCCAGTGAACCGACCATGTGGGTCGACCATCGGTCAGCTGGCTCGACCGAACCAGGTTTTCACATGTGGTTTTCTCTCCTAAGGGATAAACCTCAACGGCTCAAAAGGTCTTCCGCCAATGAAATCAGTTCAATCATGTAAATCCACTCGATCTGATTTTCTGGTGCCAAATGTGTTATGCTGTGGTTTAAGCCCTGTTGCTCTCTCAAACGTTCTCAGTCCTTTTTTCGATTTGCAGCACTTGAATAGCAGGGAGTGTGTGCAGTCAACACACACACACACACCTTGAATGAAGGGATATTGAATACATACATTATGCAATGATATTTGCCAGCTGATTTCTTTCCCCGGGCAACTAAATGATCATTTGGCGTAAGGTGAACTGTCCCTTTCATATAATCGATGACCATATATGGACCGGACCATATTTGACACTTTCCATATTGCCCACCAGGGCCCAAACTCAAGTAGTGTAAGATTGTGTATCATAAGAACATGGTCGATGGGAAGCGGAGCCAAGTCCCCTGGCAATACAACTTGGTCTTGAGCGGCCAAGTCCCTGAAGCCTTGGAGCTTTGGCAATGCTCAAATAGCAGAAGCTCCTCAATGCTGCAAAAGAGGTGAAAGAAACGTTGGTCTTCTGAAACCATTGTCAATACCTTACTAGGGCTGAAATGGGGGAGAGTGAAGGGGCCAGCAGTAGAATCAACAAGGCGGATTGCATTTCAATTTGATGAGTTAATATTGCAGAAAGTAGCTTTCAAACCCTCCAGACTCCTCCCAAATTGGCCAGACCTGGCCTGTGCCAGGGCAAGGATTGCATTGATTGACAAAAAAAGGCGTCCATGGGTTGCGAGTTGGGCTGTGAGATGCACCACCTGGGATGAAAAACACGATCCATGGATTCATGGATCCAGAGCTAATGTTGTGAAACGTGCTCTTCAGCTGTGAAATCCGGTGAAATATGGTGTAATCCTGAAATCCAAGAAAACCTTTGGCCAGGATGGGTTCGTGGATTGGTCTTTTTCTACACATAATTAATTTGATTTCCTGGAAAGGCATATTAAATGCATGTATTTTGTTTGCAACATATCCTGTATTTTGTTTGCAACATATCCCATATGGAAAGATGGAATACCAACAGAAATGCCCAGAGTGTCTACGGCAAGGCCCTCACAATTCGGCATAAGGAACAGAAGGCTGAACAGATGAAATGAATAGCTCAGTTTTGTGGCTCGCTTTTGGATGACAGATGATAGAAAAGAGCCTTGTTTTGTATGGTATGTTCTTGGGGAAAAACCCAACACATTTGTTTCATTTTGTTTCTACGTCGTTGCCATATGGTCCCCCTGCACCTTCCGACAGTGGTCGGTCTCCGGTCTCAGGTCAGAGCACTTTGCCCGACAGTTGTGCACCGGTGAGCTTCGCAGAGCAACTGGGCGCAGCGAAGCGAAGCGAAGCAACTGGGCACCGGGGGGCAGCGGGGATCGATGTGAGGAAGTTCCACTGCAAGAGGTGCCAAAACTGAATCATCCTGCTTGATCCACAACATGACATGCATTGATGCTGCTTCCTCCACAACCCAGTGGTGTTTTGTTTTTTTTTGGTTCCAAGGCGATCACGACGACGTTTCGATGCCGATGACGAAGGAGTGCAACGATGGAGTCGATCCTGTGGGTAGCGACCATGGGATTGACCCAAGTTCGGACACATCGAAGTTTTGCAAATGACCTGGCACATCGCATCTTGTGCGTTACTAGTAGCGTCCTTGCTCCGTTCGTAGCGATATTTTTTGTTACTAGTAGCTTCTTGTTCCTAGCAGTAAGGCCAGGAGCTACTAGCTGCGTCCACGCTGTGCAACGCCCGCCTCCCCCCGAGGTGGGAGAACCTCCCGGAGTGCACGCCTCTGTGCAACGCGGATTTGCTGAGGCCTTCAATGGGTTTTCGTTGGGACCTGGGGGCCGGATGCGCTCGCGATCCGCAGACTTTGGGGGGTGGACACTTGGTGTTACGTGCGGCACTCGAAAGGGGCACTCGAAGAGTTGGAGAGTTGGCAGTGTCTTTCATGTTTCTTCCCAAATGTGTTTTTCTTCAGGACAGGCTAGGTTATTCGGTACCCATGGCGATTTCGGTGGAACATGGTGGAACGATCGCCCCATGCGAAGCTCCGTGCATGGGATGCCTAAGAGGCTCCCCAAGCAGCGATGGCCTCCAACCTACTAGAGATAGCCTCCACCCAGTAGCGTCCTTGCTCCTGTTTGAGGCTTCAATGAATGGATGTGAATGGGATGCTTCCGTGCCGTGCCAGGGCCGGGCGGAATCTCGTGATGGATCCGGCCTGTGAGAGTTGCATCGCTGGCGAGGACGGGGTTCTTCCGGGCTGGAACAGTGGGGAGTCAGTTTGGGGAGGGTAATACACATGGCCATGGCGGTTTTAGTAACACTTGAATCTTCAGGCCGTATTTTTGTTCGAATACCAACCACGTAGCGCCCAAGCTACAGGCGACCTCTCGTTTCAGAGAATGCTTCGTCCCACGAGACCGAATGTATGGGCTCAAAAGGTACCTGGGGTACGAACAATCACAGGCCTGCAAGAAACTTGCAGTGTGCTTGCTTTTGCCATGTTTGTGTTGTCATTCACTGTGCCTTCGCAAAACGAGGGGATGCAGGACCAAGCTCTTCACATCTCATTCACATCATTCACTTCACCCGCCAATGGCGAAACCAAAGGAAAACAAGGCAAAACGCAACGGCCACCGTCACCAACGACCATGGCCACTTCCCGGCTTCGGCGCTCCGAGGAGTGCAACTGCACGGTGAGCTGCGAGACCGGCTTCGAGATCCATGGTGGAGGTCCGGACGTCCGCGACTGGAGTCGTTGGGCATCCGTGGCAAGCAGATTGGTCCATTAACACAATAATATTATACAAAACAAGTAGAGATTGAGAGTCAGGTCACCAGCCCGTAACATCTTCACAAGAGACTCTTAAAATGAAGCATATATTAAATCTCCAAACAATTTAGTGATCGAATGATTTTCAGATGCCCCGATCTGTGCCTGTGTGCGCGTTGCTTAATGTGTTGCTTCTCCCAGGTCCTCCGGGCCCCCGCAGTTGCAGCCTAGAGGATCTCAGTTTGGGGCCTGCGCCCGTGTGCCGACAGCCGCAGGAGCGGCCCGTCACGAAGAACGGTTTAGAGTTTGCGAGCGAGAGAGGGTGGTGATGGGGGTATGTGGACCTGGCATGTGTAGTGTAGACCTCTAAGCCTTATAACTTAGCGGTTTTTTTTTGAGCCAGCAAACATGTTCCTAGCCTTTGAAGATTATGGAAACACTGAAAACTGAAGCTCTTAAATCACTTCATCACACTTTATATAGATAATTTAGTGTAAGCTGGAACATGTGAAACTATGAGGGGGAACTGCAATAATGAGCCTTCAACTAAACAAATTATTAACCTGTATGTTTAGAAACACTTGATGGTTGTCTATGAATTAGCTAAGATGTGTTTATGTCTTCCGGTTGATCTTGCGAGAACCAAGGTCTAGCTTTTGCGTTCTTCACTTCCAAGGGAAGTGGACACAATACGAGCACCACTGGTTTTCACAATTTGCTGATCTTTGGAGTGAATGACGGTACCAAGGGCCATTTCTCAGGATGCAGAACACATAGACCCCAGCTGGGAGCCAACTGGTTTTGGGGTACCTGGCTGATTTCGCTAAAAGCTTAGAAAGCCTGTAGTTGTAGCTCCGGCTTTTACTGTTTGGTTTGGCTTGTGTCGTATCAAGACGTGCCCTGGAACCGTAGGGATTCTGCTTCAGACCCACTCTCCACCTCAAAGAGTACACAGAAAACTTAAAACCGCTGGCACGTACTGGCACCTACTCTGATCTCATGCAGGCCGGTGAGCCGGGGCACTTGCCCACCTGCCCCACGCCAGAAGTGGCGCGCTGGGTTTGCTTGGAGGGAGGAATGTGGACCGGTTGTGTCCATGAGCTCGTTTGTTTGCTTGAGTCTGATTCTTTTTTTAGATTGAGGTGGTGCTTACGTGCGAGTTCAAGCCCATCCCGATTGTTTTAGATGTTTTAGGAAGCAGATGGAGAGGACCAGAAAGACCATGAAGCAGAAAAGGAAGAGACAACGAAAAGAGAAACAGTTGGATGATGAATCTAAAGATCTGGCATCCAACAAGAAGATCAAGAGGAAGTGGATTCAGACCATGTGAATGTCCATGTCCCACATGCATGCGATCTCGCCTCGGTTCTCCCCACGGGCGGCGAAGCGAGCGGCCACGGGCCAGGCCCATGCAGCAGTGGATTGCCAGTGCCACGAGTCACCGGATGGGTCGGGGGTCCCTGATTCCGGGATTCCGGCGGCCACCAAGCGCTCGTTGATGAAAACCCCCCCACTACTTGGATGGTCCAACATCTCAATCTATTAGAGATCCACATTAAGAAGGGACGCCAGGATACGCCAGGGACGTCAGTCAAGGGATGTTGTGCGGACTCAGGACTAGATTCTAGATGCCTGTGGCAGGAGCCATCTCCAGTTCATCACTGGTTATCACTCCGGGACGCCCGGCCGACCGGACGCCCGGCTGTCCCACGCATCGGAAAGCCCCGTCACCCACGGCGAACGGGTGACCCAGGAGATTGGAGATCAAGAGCCAAGATTCCAGATCCAGGTGACAGTGACCCCTCAGAGAAGGGACTCAAATCGTGATTCAAACGAGGAAACAGAAGATCGGTCGTCGTGGAGCAAACGATTTGACAGTGAAGATCGGTGACTGGAGCAACCCCGCACGGTCGGTCCGTAGCACCGTGCCCGATGAGTTCTCGGCGTCCGCAGAGTCGGTAAGTCGACTCAGCACCCCGGGTAAGGCCGAAGACGTAAATCTTTCGAAGGTGTAGCCTTTCGAGAGACGTACAAGCAGTGGAGAATCTGTGGTGGTTTTTGGTTCACAAATGTCACAAACTAATTACTACAGTATACCCTGCAAGTCCCAAGTGCAAGTTAAACGAGTACTTTTCGAAAAGAACAAGTTTTACGAGTACCTTTGGTTTGTCGGAACCCAAGCCCTTTTATCCAAGCGAGTTCAACATCACCGCACTAACAGCACATAGAACCTGCAAAATTGCACCCAATGTTTTAATTAATGCAAATAACACAACTGACAAAAGCGTCAAACATTTATAAATCCTGGTCACAATTTTGTATGATGTTATTACATATTGCAAACATTAAGGGGACTAAGGACCTAGCTGTTACGCTCCAGTTACGCTCCTGTTACGTTGTTGGAAGATCATTTGCAGTTTTAGAAGTCTCCTGGAGGGGGTTGTTACAGAACTGTTACGCTCCTGTTGCGCTAAATAGTTGCCAACAATTCAGACCTCTTTGCTCTTAATGTCGAATACTTAGCCTCAAAGCCACCAAGAACACCTGGAATATCACTCAAAATCGCCTTTGATTCCCTTCCAAACCACCTGAAGAGATCATGAACACCATTTTTTGCTTTAACGGAACTTTAGTGGGACCAAGTAAAACTAGGTGCTAACAAAGTAAATAGTGGTCATTGTCTCCAATTCTACATGAACAAGTTTAACGAGGTCATTGACTTGGAGGGTATAGTCTTATAGTGGCATGAGTGGAGCCTTGAAAGGTCAAAAGATGAGGTGTTTAACTCACATGGTTTGCAAATTAATAGCCCACCAACTAGCCAACAAAGATCCCAATCATGTTTGGTCGGAGGACACCAAAAGCATCCCTTTAAAAACTGGACCAACCTGGAGTGTTGGTCGTAACCACTGAAAATACTGAAAGCGAAAGCGAGTGGTCAACCATGCGGGAATATTTGGAGTTCACCCGCAGCGACCCCATCAGGTGCACGTGCCCGATCTTTCGCCTTCACACCCATGGCAACATCAAGGCTGGCTGGCTCCACATGTTGGGTCACTGGCGAAGTGGCAAGTGAATCACCACTTGACAACTCGCCAGACATCGCCAGACTCTCTTGTTTTGTCAAAACAAGGACGACAACAGACTACCAGCACCACCCAGTTCAGTGGTGTATAGACTCCAAAACCCCAGTACGATGATGTTTGGTTCCGACCCATGTGCTGGGCCGAGACATGTCGAAGAATCGGCGCCGATGGGTGTGCCGCGGATGTGTCCCGCAAGCTTGTGCCATCGATGGGCCCACCATGTGACCCATCGATTCCACTGCTGTGAACAGCGCTGTTCCAGGGCCCAGTGCATCATAGGATGATAATGATATAGGTGTTAGGGGCCCTGTGCAAGAGTGCCCCAGACAGATATTAGCAGGAAGCGAGACCTAGTGCATCCTAGTGCTATCAGGTATATATGATTTAAAAGTGTGTTTTGGTACACTTTTACTTTGAGGATGTGTGCTGCCTGGAGAAGCGTCGTGCTGCCTTCAGATTCTTTTCCCCAAGGCCGCAAGGCCACGTTCGGCAATGTTCAACGTTAAAGGTGCATTGTTGGGCTCCTAAATTGAAGGTGACAGTTCTACTCCGTGGGGGACTAATACAATATGAATTAATATGAGTATTAATATGATACAATATAATGGAATGTAGTTATAATAGAATTGTATAATTGTTCTTTTTTTTGCCGGTTTTTGAGTGCTTTTGTTATGCGAATCACATGGAATCACCTCCAAATACTCCGACTCCTGACATCGACCGTCCTCGTCGTGTTGATCGGCCGGGCGACCGATCCACGACGACGTGCGTTTTCGTCTTCGTTGCTTTATTTTTAATTCTAATAGCTTCTTGTTACTACTGGTAAGGCACCTGTTACTACTAGCGTGGCACCTGTTACTAGTAGTAACAAGAAGCTACTATGTGTGTGTGTATGTGGTAATGTCACTTAGAGTGGACCATCACAACTGATATCTAGTTCTTGCCAGCGATCTATGTGTGTCTGCACATTGCGTTCAATCATATTAATTTACTATGAGCCTGACACTTCACCTCGGGTCAACCACCCCAACCGATCGGCAAATACCGTATATACTTGTTTTGCTTTTGTTTGTCACACGTGATTGCACTCAAGTCTTCGAACCCGAATTCTGCTTCACTCTTGGCCTCTTGGACTTGGCGGATCCGCCCCACACCGGGCGGAGGAAGCGCAAGGCCGCGTCGGGTCGGGGTTTGCACCGGATCTGACAGGCAGAGGAAGCGCCCGAGGGTGACAAGCAGTGCACCATCGAAGACCAGATGCCACCGGCTGCCACCTGCCGGGGCGCCCGGTTCGACGCGACCGCCAGGGGCAAAGACGTCTCGCCTTCGGGCGGTTTTGCGACGTACGTACGTGTGTGTATGTGTGTTTAAACATGTTTAAACCAGCCGGAATGTGTGAAAAAGTGCTGGGAATGGGGAAGAATGGAGACACATATTTAATATGGCTGGGCTGGGCTGTTACTGTTCAACTGTTATGCTGTTTCTCTTGGAATAGAGGTAGACTCGTAGACAGCATTTTGTTTTTGACTGAAGAGCTCCAGTGAGTAATATTGATTATGAGACATAGAGTTTGGTGCAAAACAAATGTCAGAGGGAAAACGGCGACTTCAACATGTTGATAGGAGACTTTGGAGCCTCTATGAAGGTAAAGCCCGTAAAGCTCCATAGGGAACCGATGTTCAGCCATTTCCCCCGAGGGAACCGATGTTCAGCCACGATAGGTTTGGACATCATCCATCGTACGTCACCGGCAACTGACGCATTGAAGGCATGCCGGACATTGCCCGTGTACAGGGAAATCCCGCCCACCCCGCGAAAGAAGGAACATCACGAGGAATTCCCGAAACACTATATTGGGTGGTGGTTTCGGATATGTTTATGTTTCACCTTTACTTGAGATGATTGAACAGGTTATTTTCAGTTGAAACCGGTTTTAAACCACCAATCGACCAATCGGGGCTGCTGGTGCCAGTCCAGCTCACCAGAGAGGTTACATCGTCACACCGATGAAGACGTCGCCGGTGAAGCCTCACACGTTTTTCATCAAATCCATATCTCGTATTAATCAAAAAGAAGAGATCTTGGGCCCACGTGGCCCCCTCAAAGGGATTCCCTTTCAAAAGGTTCAAAGCATGTTTCGGTTTTGTGAAGAATCAAACTGATGACAAATGACAAGCCGAACCTGTATTATTGCTGGACCATCCGCAAAACTGAGAAATGAACTGATGTCCAAAAAGGATCACAGTTCCCACTGGCCAATCGTGCCAAGCTCCTGTAATTGTTGCGGCTACTTGTCCTGGCCGTTCTTCGATGTCATGCTCCAACAGCACATCCGATCCCTTTTGGTGGCCAGGACTGGTAAGTGGCCCCTCATTGTCCCGTTCCCGGTGGCATGTTTCAGGTAGCGACTTGAGCAAAGAGGAAGACTGCTTGGGGCACTCACAGGAGATGTGACTGGGGTGTGGGAGGGGTGGTGAGATGACATGTCTGGCCAACTTCTGATTGGGGGTAAAAGGGCTTTCGAACTTCTGATGGTCTCTTTGGGGCTGTCTTTCTTGATATTGAACTTTGAGAGTTGACCGAGTTCACTGAGTTCATCCACCGGAGGGATCCAAGGCACAAGGGTCTTCAATGTTCAAAGGGAGTGATTTCAAAGCATCAGGGACGTCCCGTTCACATTTTGTGATGGAGCTGATCATTTGACGCAGTAGAAGTATATGTACAAACTTTGATACACCATGAACTGACGACGGCTAAGGTGTTGAAGCTGTGGTGCTTATTATTTGGTCCGGATGTCAATGTGCACAGACATTAGTTTCAGCAATCTACATGGGTTTGCCACTTTGGTTTGTTGCTGGACTCAAAAGGGGACCAATGATGTTCATGCATATGGTTCTTGAGATCAAAGCACGGACTTGGTTCTTGTGTTTTATTACTTGATTTCTGAGCTGTTTGGAATTGGTGTAGATGATCCAACATCCGCCTTTCAGTGGCTATGGGCAGTACATCCGCCTTTCAGTGGCTATGGGCAGTGGACAGCAATTTATGTTCCCTCTATTGGATGCTGTTTTGGTATGTTGCGGTATGTTGTTTGCCTGTTTCTGGCGTACGTTGTTGGGTGACTGCGTAGCTGCACGTGTGCCTTTGCCATGTTCAAGATGTTTCCTTTTGTGTGCCATTCCTGGTCATTGTTTACGCATTTGTTAGTTTATGTGTGTCATTTCTGTTAGGCTGCCTTCAAATATCGTCAGCATGCGTACGACTACGAGTGATCAGGCACACTTGAGTTAGTTATTTATTATTGGACACCCACGAACTAGCCTACTTCTGGGCGAACTACGACGCATCCTGGAGTTTGGAAGAAGAATCAAATGAGACACTCATGGAACCCCAGGTTGTCCCTGATTCCACAGGGCCCCGGGCCTCATGGAAGAGGAATCACATGGATTCTTCCACCGGCATTGACCGGTCGCGTCGCTCGCAGGAGGGCGAGCCCTGCTGCTTCCGCGAGGAGGGCCTCTATGCGAACTGCCACGACGGCGGGTGTGAGGCGAAGAGCACGCGGTGGATGGATGTGATCCGGTCATTTCGGTGGATGTGTTGCCGAAATGAAGAAAGACACTCTCTGAAATCGTGGAAGTGGAAAACCACCTGTTTCTGAAGGACAATTGTTTTAGGGAGTGTAGGCTAAAACCAACGGGTTTTGTGGATTCATGCACCATTACCTTTTGATCCATCTCTTTTTGTTGTTTGAATCATATGCAATCAGTGGTTCCATGGATCCAAACAGTTCTCCAAACCTGAACTGTTTTGTTTCACGGAGGCTTTGGTTCCATGATCTATAATAGTGGTGTCCTGCATACTTCCTGGTTTACTTCCTCAAATCGGCATCAGGAAGTCCGTGAATTGCGTCACTGCGTTGCAAACAACAATACATAATATTGTGATAAACAATTGTTTGTTATTCTAGGTGGGATATCCGGGCTTGTGGCATTGGTTGTCAATACATGAATATGAAGAACTACTCGGTATATCAAATAATTTTACCAGAAAGACGTCAGCTTACTGTGGCTCTTTTAATCTTGAAGTATCATATTTGCTTGCCTCAAGACCACCTCTATGGGTTTCAAGGGTGATACTGCTGCTTCGTTTGCTGGATATGAATTCTGTATGAAACCTCTTGAATTGTTTGGAATTCCATGGAATTCCCCTAAAGGCTCCAATTGATATCGAATCTAGGATAATCTAGGCTACTACTGTATCAAAGCCCGCTGCGAGTGGCTCCAAACGATAAAACCCCGCGTTTTTATCTTCCATGCACCGGCCGCTGCCTCAGGCTATTCCAAGCTCGGTGGGCAAACCTAGATGTAAGATGGAGATGCATGGGGGGGGAATCTGATGTGGGGAGTCCATGACATGGACCAGCTGCGACAAGCGCCCCTCAAGAAGCCTTTTTTGTCGGACGAACTATCCAAATGAACATAAATGAACTGTTTTGTTCCGATGGCTTCCAGGCACACAGAGGTGAGGTGGCAAAGTGGATGCCAAGTGGTACTTTGAACTTGCGGTATGATACTTACCATCAGACTTCATTTCAGATGACTTGTGTCAAACACACAATGAACGCGGCACGAAGATTGATTCAGAGAAGTGGGACGTGCCACCGGGTTACGATCGATGGGAGATCCTGCAACGACCTGGGTTTTGCGGGGCAGGCGTTTGGCCATTTCAGTTTCTTTTTGTGTGGGGAGTTGTGCTGCATATCTCCAGAACCCTCATGACTGAAGTTGGCTATGTGTGATGTATTGTGATGTACTCAGATCCTGCGCAAAGGCCGCTCCAAGAACAGGGAACCAGAATCAACACATTCTCGCAGTAAGGACATCGACAACAAACCCATGCCAGAGTCTGCCGAACTGCCAAGCCTATGGACACCATCAGTTTGCAGCTGTGGACTCTAAGAGAAGAAGTACGATTCACTAGTGGAAATCACACTGTTTGTACAGGAAACTTGTATTCCTAGGGTTCAGTTTCTGTGATATGTTCGTCAGAGGGATATCTCCACCAGGCGAATGTGGGGAAAGGAGATATTTCAAGTGGATTTCGTGGTTCAAGGGCTGGCCATTTTCTGGCCCCACCTCTTGGTGTCCAAAAGCTCGGAGGATTTGGCGAGGCGGCAAGTCCTGAGCGATAACTCAAGTGAGTCCTGTGTTGGATGTTGTGCGTGTCCGAAAGACTTTGAGGTACTACTCTACTTGTGACCCCAAATCCATCGAATCCATCCTGTCAGCTAGGGGCACCCCAACCTAGAAGCACAGTACCCACTAACCAGAAACACTTTGGTTTCAGTTCCAACCACTTGGCATGTACAGACTCACGCCCAGACTCACGCGTCAACCGAGCAGAGAACGTGCAAAGCCCCGAGGTCTGTGCGCCGCGATCGGACCCGAAGATGTTCTTCGTCCCGACGAGCTGCGCCAAGTCCTTGTTTTCCAAGTGGCAGGAGTCGCGGAGCTGAGCCCAGGCGTTCTTTTTGTGTAGGATCAATTTTTAGCCCAGGTGTACACAACTTAAGACAAGAGCAGACAAAAACATATTGTAAATGAATTTTAATGTAAATGATATGGAAGGGCTCGTTTTGAGCTGTACAGGTTGGAGGATTTGCTGTAAGACGATGTGGTTTGGATCAAACGATGTGCGATATAAATTGAGAAAAACACCTAGATTGATTAATTTGGATTAATGTTCGTGCGCAGAATAGCGGTAGCAGGCACCATATAGGTAATATATTGTCACGAATGTCAGTATGTATGCTGCCTATATTTATGCTGCCCATGTTTTCCTTACATTACATGTTGTTTTTGTGTGATTTGTTTAACAACATGTTGTGTGAAGAGATTTCTAGTGTCATTGATAAGGTCGGCATGAAGGTTATGTAGCATTGGTTATGTCCTGAGTTTCCCGAGTCTTTTCAATGTCTCGTGTTCTCCTGATGCAATTATGCGTTGTTATGCTTGGTTTGTCCAATATGTGTGCAAACAACAAAAACATACCTTACCAGTTAATAAAGCTTCTAAGTAGACATCACCAAATATTGTATGCTAAAACACCTAATTACTGATTGTCCCGCGCAAAGTCCAGTTTTTTGTTCGGTGCCTATAGACAATATGTGCCAGATAGTTCATTCCTAGTCAATTCCTAATCATCATAAGGCTATTTTTTCAATACTGTATATAGATTGTAATCTATTGTAATGTTAGCATCAGTTCATCTTGAATTGGTAGTTCTTGATGTTCACAACTCCTCTCGGTTTCAACGATGTTGTAATTCAATGCACAGTTGCACATTGTTCATGTTATCACCATGTTCATTTACTGTCCATCCTTTTGTTCCATCATTGAATGTCAAGACTGCATGTTGTTTCTTACTTATTGCAAACACCTTTGTGTATGAGTAGTCAGCGAGTTTAAAATACAATGTACATTAATATGGTTCCTTCGAAAGCAACCATTATTATGCTTCAACAACGTGTTGTTCTATTAAAAGCTACACTGTGTATTTTATGATGTGGTGTTCCTTGATTTTGCAATCATACGGTTGTCATATGTCAAATTGATTGAACACTGAGACTTCATCAAGTGCGTATATTGTCAATATTGTTGTTTTTCTTGTTTGTGATTGCCTTTGACATGCCAATGATTGTTTGCGTGTGTGTGTGTGTGTGTGTGTGTTTGGCTAGGGTTATTCTTGAACATCACCTGACACTGGAACACCAGTTGGAACAATAGTGTGGGATTGGGCTGGGTTTTAATTCTGCCCTGCAGGGTTTTTTTCCCGCCCTGTGCAGTCCTGGTAGTTCCCGCCCTGGAGGCTTGTGCCCTGCATTCTGCCCTGCAGGGTTTTTTTTCCGCCCTGTGCAGTCATGGTAGTTTCCGCCCTGGAGGCTTGTGCCCTGCAGAGGTTTCTGTTCCTGCCCTGCGGGGTTTGTTTTCTGCCCTGCAGGGTTTTTCTCCTGCCCTACAGGGGTTTCTTTCCTGCCCTGCAGGGTTTCTTTCCTGCCCTGCGGAGGTTTCTTTCCTGCCCTGCCAGGGTTCCTTTTCCACCCTGCGCAGGCACCCTGTGCAGGGTTCTCCCTGTGCAGGGTTCTTCTTCCACCCTGTGCAGGGTTCTTTTCCACCCGGTGCAGGGTTCCTTTTTCACCCTGTGCCGGATTCCTTTTCCACCCTGTGCAGGATTCCTTTTCCACCCTGCAGGATTCCTTTTCCACCCTGTGCCCTGTGCAGGGTTCTTTTTCCACCCTGTGCAGGGTTCCTTTTCCACCCTGCGCAGGCACCCTGTGCAGGGTTTCTTTCCTGCCCTGCTGGGGTTTCTTTTCTGCCCTGCAGGGGTTTCTTTCCTGCCCTGCAGGGGTATCCTTTCCATCCTGAGGAAGGTCCTCGTCGAACTGCAGGAGTCACTTCTTGACCCTACGAGGGTTTCCTTTCTGCCCTGTGTGTTTCCTTTCCACCCTCAAGGGGTTTTCATTTCTGCTTTGCAAGTCTTTTTTGCCCTGCAGGGTTTCTTTTCCTGCCCTGCAGGGTTTCTTTCCTGCCCTGCTGAGGTTTCTTTTCTGCCCTGCAGAGGTTTCTTTCCTGCCCTGCTGGGGCTTCTTTTCTGCTTGCAGGGTTTTCTGCCCAAGGGTTTCTTTCTGGCACTGCAGGGGTTTCTTTCCTGTCCTGCAGGGGTTTCTTTTCTGCCCTCCAAGGTTTCTTTCCTGCCCTGCTGGGGTTTCTTTTCTGCCCTGCAGGGGTTTCTTTCCTGCCCTGCAGGGGTATCCTTTCCATCCTGAGGAAGGTTGTCGTCGAACTGCAGGAGTCACTTCTTGACCCTACGAGGGTTTCCTTTCTGCCCTGTGTGTGTTTCCTTTCCACCCTCAAGGGGTTTTCATTTCTGCTTTGCAAGTCTTTTTTGCCCTGCAGGGGTTTCTTTTC